TCTATGTGAGGGCTTGTCTCGTGATGCAGTTGGGTGCTTTCCTCAATGTGTGTCCTATCCACTTCCAGCGCTTCTTCCTAATTTCTTCTTCCACTGGGATCTGGTTTGTTCTTTCCCACAGTTGGCTATTGCTAGTAGTGTCCGACCAACGGATACGAAGTATTTTGCGTAGACAACTGTTAATAAACACCTATGTCTTCTGGATGATGCCTTTCGTAGTTCTTCAGGTTCCCGCCTCATACACTATAACTGTCTTGACATTTGTGTTGAAAATTCTGAACTTGGTGTTGGTTGACAGTTGTTTTGAGTTCCAGATGTTCCTCAGTTGTAAATATGCTACTCTTGCTTTGCCGATCCACGCCTTCACATCTTCATCAGATCCATCGTGTTTATTAATGATGCTGCCCAAATATGTAAAGGTTTTTACATCCTCCAAGTGTGATTCGATTGTTTCATGCTGTGTTATATCGGAGAATCTTGCTTTTCCCTTTAAGTATGTTGAGACCTACTGCTACTACACTGATCGCATTTGTTGTTGCGTGTGCGATAGAAGAGCCAGATTATCTGGGAAGTCTAGATCGTTCAACTACATCCTAACTGTCAATTGTATCCCATGCTTTCCCTTCGGGACACTCTAGTCCTTTACATTAATGTTTCATGTTCTGAAATCCACGAAAACTAATTGTATTGAGATATGATTTATAATTTTTTAGGAAAATCTGTTAACTGTTTCTCATTTATCTTACATAGTAACAATATTTGTCATAAAGATTATCTTCTTTAATTACTTAATTTAAACTCTGTACATGAAGCTGTGAAACATTATTCTATATGTTAGTTTGATAATGACTCTATTAACAGGCTACTAAATATGAACAAATAACACGAAAGTTTAATATAACAAATGAAAAAGTACTAGATTATTATCACTAGAACTTATATTAACACAATTAAAAAATATCATTATATAAAAGCGAAAATTAACTTATCACTATGGAAAACAAAGGAGTAAAGTAAAGTGAAAAAAAAGGTTGTATTTTTTGAGTAATCAAATGTGTTAATGGAGTTATGTACTTTCTTAAAGAGCATTTATAGTTAGTAGAAACATGTTTTAAAAGCTGAGAAATTGTTTAAGAATGCTCTATACAATCAGTATTCTTAGAAACGTCCTTGGAAAATTAAGAAACCAAATAATCAGGCTTTTGTTCGACTCAGTTGATCCGATGTTAAGTTTTTTTATGAATTTGAGTGGTAGCGAAATCCGATTCAAAGGCTTCAAGTGGCGCAGCTGGGTATTTATGGTAATCTTGCTAGCTAATTTAGGTGATTAGTGGAGATCGAATTAATTCGCCACTACTTGGAGTTCACACCTCGAGGCTCTAAAAATCGTAACAGGTTGCCCGATGTGTATACTTATAAATGGTATGAGTCTCGGCTCGTGTAGTTGTATGTGTAGGTACATGCTAAGGGCACGCACGTGGGTTTGCACGAGGAACATAAGCTCGAAAATGTCTTCTTTATGTCTAATAACGGGGTTGGATGGAGAGTGCTAGTGGGCAGCCTATGCTCCTCCATGAGGAGTAACACGTGTAAGTAATGCCTAATAAAATCAGTGGTCTGATCCTTCAGGTCGAAGACCTGATGAAAGGATATGGTAGCGAATACTCGCGAGAGGTGACCTACAACCGTCCCTGAGAAAGTGCATATGCTTATATGTATGCCCTGACGTACATGGATGAGTCTTTGTACCGACGGTATTCATTCAATGTGAAAGAGACAGTCAGTGGTAGAAAATACGTTCGAAGGGAGCATTGACCATTTACTCTCCCAGATTGGTTAATATATGTATTCTATGGGACACATAATTCAAAACTTGTGCTACAGGTGTGCATGTAACGTATATTTGCTCACAAGGTAAGTATACCTATGTGTATGCTAACGGATGCTTGGATGAAAACTTATGTGTCACTGGTATTCATGTATTCCACACTTGACCCTGGAACGATGCCCATATATCAAGACCCGGGGTTACAACGATTACCACACGAAATCAGGTCCATGTGATGGGTTTGTGAGCCTCAAAAAGCGGCTTTCTAATTTCGAAAAGCCTATGGACTTTACCGAGTAAGGTTTCACCAACCTCAAATTGCTGGAACACGGAATAACATATTTAAAGAATCAGCTTATTTCATAACATCTCCGACAACAATCAATTAGATTGACTTCCCTTCTCTATTAAAATGTTCATTGAGTTTCACAATGAATAAATCTAAGAAACGTATGCTATGTTTTGTTCATCGCAATGGTAATTTTAATTAGGCGACATAATGTTGTATGATAGAAAAACTTTAACACATAAGTCATATTAAACAATGTGAAATACTATACATATTTTACTTGATATCTTGACTTCTTACTTTCTCAAGTATGACTAGATTACAAAAAGATCAAATTTCATCTATTCTCACTTACTAAGATGTTCGTGACGTTGATTTGAGAAAAAGGACTCTTTATTAAACGACAGTATAGTGTTTGTACATTATTTCAACATTACCATTAGACAATCAAAGTGTAAATGAATCTTCCTAACTACTTTTGATATAAGATATATCTGGTCTCAACGTAAATGTCTCTAGTTACTTAAATTATGTCATATTTAGTATCTTCTTTTGAACACTTTAAAAGAATTAAAATCATCTATTAACTCTTAATATATAAGGTTGTTTTATCAAGCTGATTGAGCCCTGTAGAGGGACATGTGTTCTGTAATTATCTTCAGAATATATATTTATTATAATTATACAATGGTGAAACGAACAAACTTGTTGCTCCTTCTATACTATTACAATATTTGAATATTGGTTTATTCCTCTATACTATGGATAGACGAAATGATAACAAAAAAGATCAATCTAGTGTTATTGTTTGAAAGTTGATGTTTGACAGATTAAAGAAAGTATCAAACACTTCCAACAACGCGAAATATTCTGTTTGACCAATGTTATATGCTACTTGTAAGTCATCACTGACGTACTCCATTGCGCATCATTTCGTTTTGATTCTCTTTCCGATCAATGACTCTACGAAATATACGAACGCGAATATCCATTCTTGTATTTGATTTATTTAATTTATTACGTTATTCATCAAAGCGAGTTAAGTCGATGATTCTATACAAGGAATGGCGACATGTATATTTCAAAAACAAGCATCAAACGATCTACCTGGAGTCAAATCTCGGGCCACTAAAATATACATCTTGATTTTATTTAATAGTTGAATTCATGAGTCGATCAAGTGTAAATTACCATTGAAAATGTGGAAGCACTGGATGGTCGTTTTGTCCTAGTATAGGACTCCTCAGTAGTGTGTATCCACGATCCCGCACATGGGACTCGTAGTTTTAAAGTCCTAATAATCAGTATTACCCAACCAGATTCAATCATTAAAGTTTTCTATCAGTTCATCTAATAAAACTTTTTTCCAGTCCACCTTATATCTGAGGTACCTGAATTCTAATATATATTTGTCCCTCACTTTATCAAACGACAGATAAAAAAAGAAGTAAATATGGCTAAACTGTAGTGTTCTTGTGTATAAGTGTAACGACGGACCACGGCTGTACTGTTATACGCGGTATATCAAGAAACCAACTTTCAAGATATAACATCTGGCGACGGGGTTATCGTACCAATATGTCATTTACCTTTAAGCAATTTGAAGCATTGCTGCAACGCCAAGAAAAACGTACTTAGTTTATGTCATCCGCTTTCAAACGCTTTTGCAGTGAAAATGGCATATCGCATCTACAATCTCCTCCGCACCATCCTCAGTCGAATGGCCAAACAGAAAGATTCGTGGATACGATAAAAAGAGCTCTGGTCAAAGGGGGAGGGGAGGATATCCCAGAACAAGTGATCGGTAAGTTCTTAATGTCTTACAGAGTTACCTCTAACCCGGCAGTATCAGAAGGAAAGTCGCCGGCCGAGTGTATGTTCGGAAGTAAAATCCGGACAGTCTTTAACAGTATGTTGCCACCCAGAAAGACAAATAAGCCCACGAATGAATATCGTACGGTAACTCGTAGCTTCTAGGTGGGTGAAAAGGTACTTGTCAGATCGTATCAAGGCAACAGGAAGTGGGAACCAGGTGTCATAGAACGTCGAATTGTAAATGTACTGTACCTAGTCCGGAAAGGTGTCGGAAAATGCATAAGATATATAAATCAAATGCAAAGAAACGGCAGTACAGATGTCCCAGAAACCGACTCCCATTTCAATTACCCGCGTATTCATCTCAGAAAAACCATCATGGGCGCAAACATCGAAGAGACAAACGACCCAAGGAGAAAGCTGTACAACCCTCGAGAGTAATGGATAGCAAGAATGCGACAACCAAGTTTCAGGTGGATCCAAGAAAAAAATCTTACACAACAGACTTTAAAGGGGGAAGGTATGAGGCTCAGAAGTAACCAAAGATGTTCCATCCAATCACCTTTCGGAAGAACATTCTAGAATTCCTGCGTGTAGCTTCCCGATTTGATAATGCTAATAGCCACCTATAATTGACACTGTTTGGAATAATATTCCTTTCATTAGTCTTCTGTCTTCTTATTGCGACTTGGAAAGGTTTTGATGTTCAAGTGTTCTGTTATACGCGGTATATCAAGAAATCAACTTTCAAGATATAACAATAAGTTTTCCTGTATTTAATATCGTAATTCATTGTAATCGTTTTATAATAACGCATAACTAAAGATAGTAAACTTTAATAATTTATCATTTCAAACAAGTATGAAATAAGTAGCTTAATTATAATATTTGTAGAGTTGAAAATAAATGGCGGAAAATTTGAATAGGCCGCCGTTTATTTTAGAATAGATTTAACTAAAATAAACATTATACACTATGAATTATATGTATATATATAGATCTTATTATAAAACAAACATCCATATAAAAGTAAATTATAATATAACAAGGAACATTCAATTATATTGTTCACTTTCCATTACATTCACGTTCCGTCGTTGGTTGATCCGATATTTTTTCATTAGTCACTATAAAAGAATAAAAGTAAGAGATAAGAAGAAACAATAAAATATATTGACAAATGAATTCATTGAAATCTATGAGAAAAATATAATAATAAGAGACTGATCAATTATAGTCTTAAATATCAATGAAAACATTCAAGGTAATCAATATCAAGTGAATTTAAACTTCACCACATTGTACAAGCAAGTAGTTATCAGGACTCAGTAGCTAAGTAGATAATGCGATGGTATTTGAAGTGTACGGTACTAGGTCCGAGTCCCAGAAGGAACATTAACTCTAAGATGCAAGTACATCCAGATGACATGTCCCAAATAGAACGAAACGCGTATTCTGGATTTTACTGCTAGCCACTATCCATCTTTGCTTATAATGCTTGTGAATTAAGGCAATAGTGAGGCAATATGCACAATATGCATGTATGCCAATAAGAGACTGATTGACTTCAGTCCTAAACATCAATAGGAAGATTCAAGTAAACAATACCAAGTGAATAATTCATTAGTTTATATAAAGATAAGATTTAGAAGTCTATTTAATTTGATTGTCATCTATAGTCATAATATAATATTTACAATGTTTGTCAGTATAAGTCATATATATATATATAGATATAGATATATAGATAGATAGTCAGTTAGTTAGTTACTGGCAGAACAATTATGTCAAAAGTAACATTTCAAGTTGTAGGACTAGATGACGTAAGTCAGAATTTCAAAGTAAATTTTCAGTTGCTTGAACATTACGAATAACCTTTGTTGATGAAAGTCAATTAACAGGAAACTTAAGACCAACATTTTCACTGAACATATCACATTCAAACACTAATACTTTTGTTATAGCACATGTTGGTGATAATGATGTTGTATTCTTCAAAGTTGGATGATCTAATCGTTTATTATCTTTCTACACAACATATTCAGTAGAATGTTTCAAACACAAGTAGTGAGCTATTGAAATGCTTCAACAAATCAGCTATTTTGTTGTTTGAAACAAAAGGATAAACTTCAAATGTAAAATTGGCCAACAATTCTGTTTTCATATCTATATACACTTTATATCCTATTAAATTGTCATAATCCCTTAAAAAATAAAACAGCGAAATAATTCCAATCAAATCATAATAAGTATGGCCATCTTGCATACTGATTGTCATATATGAAGGACAATGAGATAAAATAGAAAGAATAACGAGTAAAGTTTACAGAACTTTCTTTTTGTCGATGATAATTAAGAAGACTAAATATACAGGATGTAATTTGAAAGAAATAAAGAAATTGTATTGACCCAAAAGATTTAAGGCATTATGCATAGCAACTCATAGAAATTTGAATATTTTCTGTTTATACACACTAATGCAGTAGTGTTTAGGGAATTCTTAAGTCTAAACAGACCTCTCTTGGTTAAAGGATTAACATATATTCTGTTAAAAATGGGAAATATAGCTACAAACATATTCGCTCTGTAGATATATTTCAACCGTGTACAGTGTCGATATATAGATATATATAACCGTGATAGAAACTGATAGTTGAGTAGTATTGTGAATAAATTTGAAAATATTGACTATCGGATTTCAATTTAATATTTGAAAGCTAATCTATTCGCTATCAGATCCGAAGGTTTTGGGTTCGACTCTGAATGCCTTCATGAGTAACTAATTAGTAAAAAATATTTCTTCACCTAACTTGTATATTTAATTGATTTGCCTAAACATATTTGTTAAGATCTCTGTGTAGATTTCAGTTTCTTCTAAATGTTTACAAATGATTAGATCCTTTACTCACATTGAATTTAAATAGTTCCACGATTCTGTAAATAACACTATTAATTTGAATTTAAAACTTGAAAACAGATACAAATACTGAGGTAGATTCCATTCAAAACTCTGGAATAAAAACTAGGTCGAATGCAATTTATCTTAGAGTAATCTACCTTCTGATCTTTATTGGTTTCCTCATGATTTTGACAATCGTGCGATTTATTGCACAAGGAGGTTAAATGAATCTCGAATTATGTGACATTTACTTCTAAGATTTGTATATTCTCTTGTACATTAAATGTTAACCTACACTATTCCTCACGATGTTTTACTGGAGTTTCGGGGAAAAATTTCATTATATTACATAGACTGTTAATGTCTACTAGTAGGGGTAAACGGGTGAATCTTTTGAAGTGATCAATAATATGGTTGTAGATAAACAATTGAAATCTTTCAAAAGATTAACAAATGTTATTCTATGAAATACAAATAACTTCACTTATATTGTTATGTGTGTTTGTCTCCTAGCACAATCAGATACAATTACATTAGAATTCGTGTACAAAAAGAAAAGTATGACGCCTTTACCATAATATATCTATCACAGATACTAAGTGAAGAACAGGTTATAAGAGATGAGCTGATTAGTAACCTATACTGTTAAACAATCAGATAATTCATTATTGTATAATATTCTTCATTTCTTATAAAAATGGATTATGTTTACCATTCAATTGTATATATGGATTGTTACTTGTATGAAGAATAAAAGTGAGTTATTGAAATGTCACATGCTGAGAATCTGCTAATGTATTAGGCTAATAATACTAAATAAAGGGATTATTATTATTATCCCTAATATTCATGGCTTTTTTCTTTTTTTTTTGATGAGCTTTTGTCAGGAAAAGAAAGAGAAATACTTTTTTCCCATTCCTTACATGTTTAGCTAATAACAACAGTAATAATCGTTAATGTTTTCGTTATGTAGCAATGATTTTAGAAATAAAGCTGTTGAAAACATAATTGGATAATAATAATAATAATAATTATTATTATTATGATACACATCGAAATGTAATTTCTAACTGAAAATTAATAAACTGTGTCATCATCAGTACAGGGGTTGTGGATATTATTACGTTTTTGGTTGAGATCATAAACCGATTGACGTTAGATCACTATTGAAAACTTGGAATCACTGGACGACCGTTCCGTCCTATTCTGGGACTCCTTAGCAGCGCGCATCCACGTTCCCGCTCGCGACATTCGAACCCACGGCCTTCAGTCTCGTGCGTGAATGCTTAACCTACTGAACCATTGACCTGGCATCAGTTCATGATCGCGATCAAAGACTTAATAATCTCCACAACCGCCATGATTAACATGTGTGCTCACTAGTGACTAGCTTCGTGAGGGAATTATTGAAGTTCTAGTGAGAAGCCGTATCGGGTAGAGACAGGTATCTACTTCAGTACAATGGAAGATATTCGGGCAATTTCGTGAACTGGTTGATGTTAGACACTAACACCATTGGATGCCAGCCAGATCAGTGGTCCAGTAGGTTAAGTGTTCGCGAGCGAGACTGAAGGACTTGGGTTCGAATCCCGCGAGCAGGAACATGAATGCGCGCTGCGGAGGAGTCCCAGAATAGGATGAAACGGTCATCCAATGTTTCCAGGTTTTCAACGGTGGTCCAAAATCAGTCGGTTCATGATCTCAATCAAAAACTGTAGCATATTTGTAAGCAAATGATTACTAGACGGTTTCTGGGATTTGTTAAAGTTTGTAGTGAACGTCATAGACTGGTGTTAGTTTATAACCATTAGAAACCGTAAGGCACTTCACAACCATTTCAATCTAGTTCAGAACTTCATATGAGCGAAAACAGACAACCTAACCAAATAATGAAAGTGGGACTGTCAGACCTTGTGAAGTAAATGTGATGTCAAAAATACTGAGCTTATTTCTAACTTCAGTCGATTGGAGATAATACGCAACTATTATCCAATGCAATTAATGGATAAATACTTGACCTCTGACATGATTTAACTACCTAGTCGGGTCATTAATGCAAAGTGTGGCGGAATATCATATTAGGAATAAACAGCTGTCAGTTTCTCTCTGATTTTCAACGGTTGTCAGGCTACAGCCAATCAGTAATTTAGACCTTAAGTTTTCTTGAGTCATTGATGTTATTTCATAAGCGCGAAAATTGTTTCAGAAGACATATATGATAAAAGACACCAGTATTCTTAGTTGAATGCATAAATTTGTATAGGAGGCTACAAATTACATAATCCAAGTGAGGACTGAAAAAGCTATATTATTTACTTATTGTTGCAGAGAACAAAGTCTGAAAACACAAACTATAACACTAATAAGCAGTTACAAACCTCATAACTTCATTTTCACAATAGACTTCAAATCTTAAATAAACATTACATATTTTCAAGCCAAAATAGGATAAAACATGCTAACCTCAAAGAATGTAACAAGTATAAAATTAATAAACCTCCAAGTGGAAGTTTGATAAAGTACACTGCCCACATCAGTTAACTCATGATACGCTAAGATAGGGACTCAGGATCATCAATGATTCACTGTATAAAACCATTTGAACTAATATATTGTCTATGAATAGCTTAAACTAACATTGGTAATCATACTTTCACTTTTGTCTTAACTCTTCATCTTCTCTTCCTCCATGCACTGATACAAATATAATTATTCCAGGTACACAAAACAGGCATGAAATTAAATTGTCATAACGTACGATACAGCTTTTTTCCAATCGTCAAAAGCTTATGATTACATTTTAAAGAGTAATGACATTAGTTAGATCTTATAGTGATAGACGATTAATTGTATGATATTGCATGTCTATGATTATTCAGTAAATGAATGAGAAAAATTGCTCAATTTAATTAATATAAATATGACTGCAAACAAATCATATAAAAATAGTATATTCAGATATCATTTAGATTTGTATCCCTATGATTATATCTAACCACCTAACGGGTAAACATGGTACATACGATGCCAAGTTGTTTAGACCAGCGGTTACATCTTAAAATGATCAACAGAATTCAATCAGCACTGAAAACAAAACAACACAGAACATTTATTACTAGTCAATAATCAAATAATTAAAAATTTAAAAATCGTCTTGTTTTACTTAGGTTTTGTCCCGCCTAGTCTATCTACGATATTAAGACAATGAATGTCTCTTATTGGATTTAA